CCTGTGACAAACAAACAAGCAAACACAAGCTTGTTCGTGTTCTTTTCTTAATTAATGCATTAAGACATCGACAGAATATTTGGAATAATCTTGAAATGCAATGGGGAACGATAAACGAGTTCACGCTTGACAAGGAATCATGGGTAATCAGGGCAAGATTGCTAAGAGGCGATGGGGAAAGAGATACGTTTTTCGCAATATTTCGTTTCTGAGTTAAACATCCCAAACTAGACTCTTCCTGTAGATGGTTAATCGACTGTATTTTATACATACTTGAAATATGAGTCAAAAAGATCATAATTTCTGCATATTGCTGTATTTAAGTGGAATAAGGTATGTAATGCCCACAACGTATATGTAATGTCCACAACAGTTTACAGCTGAAATTACTCAAAACATTAAGGGTATAGAAATGAAACGTTTATACTAAAATAGTTGTACCATCAATCTAACATAGGATCCTAAATAGATCTTTAGTGTGTCTAACCAATTATTCATGAGATTGAATTGAAGGTTTAAACGTTGTGGACATTACGTAATGTCCACAACGAAAATTCAATTATCCTTCCTGTAGCAGAAAATTAATATTCTGCAAATTGGTCATGGCCATTTGAAACGGACGGTACTGTACTGTGACCGTTATCGTACTGTAAACAAATTCTAGTGCTCCATTGGTTCACAAAAATTGTGCAGTCCAGGTCCGGTAACTGTGCGGTAACCGTGCGGTAATTTCTACCGTACGTTTCCTACCCATACGAAATTGATCCTAGCATCTTCTTTGTGTGCCTAATGACTATAAAAAGGACCTCGTGCATCCGATAACCTTTGCGATCGTTAATTTTGTTTCTGATTGCGTGATTAGTTCGAAGATTATTATGTGAGAAAATCGCGCAATTGTCAGATGCAGGTAGCCCTTTAACAGAGATCGTCTGTACTTTGTAATCTGTTGATGGTATATCATCCAATTCTTTAGCCAAAGCTACTCAACTCATTGGCCAAGCTGTTGGACCAAAGTGCTTTGCAGACGCGGTGTTTCTTGGTGGATGTTTCAGATACAACCTTGGATGAAGCCTCAGTAGCTGAGGTAGGACAACATCAATCGAATGTTCGTTACTAGCAAAAACTTTTGGCATTAATGAACGATGGAAAAAACGTGTAAAATGGGAGAAAAGATGATTAGATGAATAAGAGGTTTAATGTATGAATTGCCAGATTTTAGTGATGGCTGGAGAGACATGAATACTGATTAGATTAATCATAGCTAGAGAATGAATGATTGGATGGATGGATCAGTTGATTATCGATAGTGTGATTGATTGATGAATCGCAAGATTGATCGTTTGCAAGATGAATTTATTGATTGATTGTATGATTGATAAATTGTATGATTGATTGATTGATTGATTTGTCGTTACGGAATTACGACTATTGCTTAATTGTATCACTTCTTGCTTGCTTTTTTGATTCATTGATTGGTTGATTGGTTGTATGAGTGATTGGTTGGTTGATTGGTTGTATGAGTGATTGGTTGGTTGGTTGATTGGTTGTATGAGTGATTGGTTGGTTGATTGGTTGGTTGATTGGTTGTATGAGTGAGTGAGTGATTGGTTGGTTGGTTGGTTGATTGGTTGTATGAGTGAGTGATTGGTTGGTTGATTGGTTGTACGAGTGATTGGTTGGTTGGTTGGATGGTTGGTTGGTTGGTTGGTTGGTTGGTTGTATGAGTGATTGATTGATTTGATTGCTTGTATGAGTGATTTTTGATTGTTTGATGGATTGAGTGATTAGATGAATAGTTGCTTGAATGTATCGTCCGTTTATCAACTCTTCTATGTTCAGTTTGACAGGTCATCGTTAATGTTCGTTGATGTCGATATCGGTCAGCTTGACTACTATGTACACGGTCTTAGAAGAAAAACCAACCGCAAGAAGTCAATCTTTAGAAAAAAAGCTCAATTCTACAAGGCAATATCCACTTCCGAGAACGAAACCTTGCTTTTTCCTGAGGAAACAAACACAGAACTTTGTCGTCGCATCGCCATTTGCCTTGCAGAACGAAAAACTTCTTAGAAACGAGGGTTTTCGTAAAATGTCATATTTTCGACTTTTTTATAGATATGTTGATGTCGAAACAATCTCTAAATTTTCCGATATGGCCTGGGAGATAATTTATGTACTGTCAGTTGACTGCAGTGTTTACAAGGATCGATAACTTTTTATGAAACAAACTCCAGTACTGCTTATTGTACTTGTTGGAGGAAATAAAAATATATTTTTATAGCGTCTTTTTGTGTGTTCTTTTTTTGTGCTGTTTTAGTATACACCAACTAAATAAAATGCACTTTAACTAACTTAGAAACGACATGCGCGCGAAACTTACCAACTGGGATGTCGGAGGTTGTACGTGCATGGACATTTTTTATACCTTTCACAAATGCTTTCGCCGAGACTTCAAAAAATCTTGTAATCGGCATTAAATTTTCAAAAGCAAATCAATTTATGATATAACTTTTGTACGTACTGGCCAAGGACTACCAAGAATAGTGAAAACTAGTTTCGTTTAATAAAAACCTCTTCCGTTCACTATATTTGGCAACAGTTGTAAAATGGAGGGAAACCTATACTAGTACAGGAGGGTGCGTTGAAGTCATATTTGGATTTGTGGAAAGTTGAAAAGAATAGACTTAAACGATCGCTAGTCAAGAAAAGAAAAAAAAATGGATTTCTTGGTAGAGAAGTACTACAACAAAAATAACGCTGTACCGGATGAAGCTGAAGGAATAACATTCAAGGATCAAGATCTGGATGAAGGCTTTAATTCGGAACCGAAGTGCTATGTTGGGTGTGAAGTGAGTGACAGTGAAAAGAAAACACTCAGTTTACCTCCAAAATATGCGTTGTATACCAAAGTAGACGCACTGTCACTGGAGGCGGAGATTGAGAAAGGCTTAGCGAAGTACAGATGGGAGAAGAGGAAAGGTGATGAGAATAATGAAAGAACTGCTGTTGTTTATGACCCTGTATCAAGGAAGTTTGATTTTCGCAACTTGCGTGCTACTGACTTGCCGTTTAACAAACGAGTGATGTTACCTACTGCGTTACCTGATGGAAAGGAAATAGAAATTCAGCATTTGAAGAATGTAATGATGGAAACTGTTGGCACGTATGCGCGCGAAAACCGTGGCGAACAATGGCAAAATCTCACGGACTCTGAAAAGGAAGGACTAAGATCCTTAAGAAAGAGGTGCAAAGACAGTGAGGTTGTGGTGTACCAGACTGACAAGTCGGGAAGGTTTTCCATTGACACATCTAATAACTATCTGTTAGCATGCCAACCTCATGTAGCCGGTGACGACGATATAACAACGGAGGAGTATGACAAGTTACAATCTGAAATGAATGCCCATTCTGTCTTATGGACACGAATTCTGGCAGCAGGAGAGAGTACAAGAAGCTTCACGAGAATAAAGAACAGCATGGTTACCAGTGACTGTCCTCTGGCACCCCTCTATACGTTGAGAAAAGACCACAAGAAGATTGACGATCCTGTGAAAGGGCCACCGGTACGACCTGTCTGTGGGGCGGTAACGTCTTACAACCAGAGATTATCGCATCTTGTCAGCCAAATCTTAAATGAGGTGTGGAGGGATGAGGAAAGCGTTTGTTTGAGTACTGAGGAAATGATGGCGGATATAAGGAGGACGAATAAGGTATTGAGAGAGGTTGGTAACGAGGAGATTGTTGTAGGGTCGGCAGATGTCAAAGCGTTGTACCCTAGTTTGGATGTTGATTTTACTGTAAGTAAAGTGTGTGAGGTATTTCGTACTAGTGGTGTGTGTGTTGAGGGGGTTAACGTTGATGAGTTAGGTTTATACCTGGCGGTGTGTGGAACTAAAGAAAGGTTGAAGAATGCTGGTATAGAGTGTTTCTGTCCTACTCGCAAAAGTAACAGGGGGAGGCAACCGGTTGTGACTGGTGGCATTTTGGATGGAAGTAAAGAAAGGATATTTTCGTCGTGGAGGGAACCATCTAGACAACCGAGTGAGGGGGATGTTAGGAGTATGTTGTGTGAGGCATTAAATATCGTTTTGATGTTTGTTATGAAGAATCATGTTTACAGTTTTGGAGGACAAATAAGGAGGCAGGTGAAAGGAGGACCGATTGGTTTAGAGTTGACAGGGGTGTTGGCGCAGGTTTTTATGGTGTGGTGGGATAAAAGGTTTAAGGAGAGATTAAGGGAGTTGGGTATACCCCTGTACATGTACAAGAGGTATGTGGACGATATTAATGTTGTTGTTGGAGGAGTGGAGCCTGGAACGAGATATCAAAATGGAACATTGACAGTAACTGACAATGCTAGGAGAGAGGACAGTGATTGTGATGCAGATGCGCAATGCATGAGGTTGCTAAGAGACGTAGGGAATGACATCCATAACTCCATTCAAATAGAAGTGGATTATCCCTCAAAGAACATAGATGGTAAACTCCCTATATTAGATCTTAAAGTATGGATTGAAAAGAGAAAGATTGTAAAGGAAGGCGTGGATGTTTGTATTAATTGTGTACTACATGAGTTCTATTCGAAGGAGGTGTCATCGAAGATGGTACTATCATCGCGGTCAGCGCTGCCATGGAGTTTGAAAAGAACTGTGCTGACTCAAGAAGTGTTAAGAGTAATACTTAATTGTAACCCAGATTTACCGTGGCACCGTGTAGTGGAGCATGTCAACCATATGGTGAGAAGGATGCAATATGCAGGATACGACCAGAGGTTTAGATACAGCGTTGTGATGTCAGCCCTCTCTGCCTATAACAAAAGGCAAACGATGTACACGGTGAAAGACCTATGTACCGCCCCAAGGAGTTTAGGAAGATAGAGAGAAGAAAGGAGAAGGAYCAGAAGAAGAGAACGTGGTACAAGAAAGGTGGAAATGATAGTGTTATTTTTGTCCCAGCCACTCCTGGATCAGTACTTAAAAGACGCTTAGACAACGYCATCAGTAACTCAGGAATCAAGATCAAACTGGTTGAAAGAMCGGGACAAAGTATCAAACAAATTCTCCAGAGGTCAGACCCCTTCAAGAAGAAAGAGTGTAACAGAGTGGACTGCTTTGTATGTAGTACGGGAGGTCAAGGCCCATGTAGTGCTTTTGGAGTAACTTATGACATAACGTGTAGTGAATGCGGCCAGAAATATGTTGGGGAGACATCCCGTAGTGCGTATTCTAGAGGAAAGGAACACCTAAGGGACTTTGATCGCGAAAACAACAACCAGTCTGTGTTAAAAA